CTTACCGAAATGTAGTGTTGATAGGCTGTATGTTGTTAGTTGTAAAGTAATAAATAATAAAGGCATTAATACGGACAAAGTATATAAACAATAATAGGGAATAAATACAGTAACACTGCAAGCCAACAACGGTATCATCAGCTCAACAGTCGGTGCTTCAGTACTAAGGCGATTTCAAATTCTGTGACATGTTTAAGATATGTATAAACATCGAAACTGAGGTTATGGACACACATGGTATTGGTTCCCTGATATCTTACTTAATATTTTTGGGTTTAACACCACCGTTTGAGGAGTTATGTCCATCTTTTTTAACAAATGTCCTCCTTGGAAAAAACTGTTCCCAATGAAAATTAAATTTTCCTGAATGAAAACTACTTTTCCTCGTGGGAAATTTTCATTGCCTCAAGTGAAAAAGTGTTCCCTTCAGAAAATGTCTTGCAATATTTTCCCAAGAGGAAATTCATTGCTTCACAATTTCCGTTTAGGAAATCTGGTACATTAAGAATTCCTTTGGGGAAATTTTAAACAACTATTTTCTCAAAGTAAATGTCTTGTATATCATATTTTCTCACAGGAAATGTTTTGTACATCATATTTCCTCTAAGGAAATTTAAAGGTATCAAATTTTTCCTAAGGCAATTGTACAGTATCAACTTCCTCTAAGGACATTTCATTGCATACATTTCCTTTTCAGTAAATTACAAAAAAAAATATTTTCCTTTAAGAAAACTTACAAACTGAAAGGAAATTTGATTATGAACAGATCTTTTGGGAACATTGGTATGACATTAGGTGTATTATTTTTAAATGAAAATAAGTTTACCAACTTTCGTTTCTACTTCATGAGAGACTAATAGGGTCAACTAAAATTCTCCTAAAAAAGTTTCCTTACAGCAAATGTATTGAATTTCGTACTCCTTTTTAAAAGCAACATTAAAATCTGTATGTTTTGCCTGAGTAGGACTGCTTTCAATGAATGTTATCAATCAACACATCAATAAAAACCAGATTATTACATACAATTATCTCCTACTTCCCTTCGTAAAGCAGCGGAATATTACGACCCAATAATTCGGTTTCCGTGATAACTTTGTATATATCTGTTTACTATCAAATAAAGGAAACGGTTTTTTTTTCTTCATTTAATTAGGCCAAGAAATTGATAGCAGATTGTATAAATTGAATAATTAAACAAATAAGAAAGAAAGAAAGAAAGTAAAATGCAGAATTGATCTCATTTGTACAAACGAAGAACACGTAAATTTGATAAAACAATGAATAAATATGCAATGCATGCAATAGTCTTTAACATATTTATGAAATACATGATATATAATATCATTTTGAAGACATCTAAATATATAACATGTATGATACCTCAGAAAGTTTGTTCTTCTTTCTAAAAACAATGATATATATGTGATGTTTCATTCTACTGGCTATTTCCTATTAAAGACGTTTAAAGACTATTTCCCCTGGTAAATAGTGTTACAATAATATTATCCGAAATTGTTCATACTTTATCGGTACGAAAATGACGTACATGTAGTTGACTACATCTAGGACTTTTCTCAATCGTAAGGTAAAATACTGACATATCGAAAAAGAATCAATCCCTAACACGTATAATCATATCACTGCATATGTCTGTCGTCGTCTTCAAGTCAAATCTGTTTTTAAATCGGATTTTTAAAAATATACCAACATTATAACATAATTTGAAAACAACAATATATAATTAATGTATGGAATTGGTCTGTCGTAATAGAAAAACAAAGGATATGGGGTATCTATCCATGACACAAAATTAATACATGCACATCAGCAACAACAACAACAAAAACGCACACAAAAAGCAAAGGAACAGCGCTTGTTTTGCTATTCCTCATCTCAAAATCACAGTGAGGCCATCAAAACGGAGCTATACAAACTCTCACCTCAATGCAATTTTAAGATGGCCCCTAGCACCGGCTTGATCGGAATTCTTTGCAAAAATCATTTGAATATACTTTGTAAGACATAACACCACCTAATCGGGCTCGGTCAAAAAAGAACATTCTGAAAAGTAGTACATATTTAAAACAAAATAGTTCCTACGCATAGTTGTAAATCCTAAACTATGTAGAATATATTTTAGTAATTAAGGTATCAAATGAAAGGTGAAAGACTGGTGGTCCTTGTAGAACACACAATTTACTGATAATTTTGAATAATACAAAAATTATGAATGAATTCTAGAAACGAGGGCATAATTAGCCTGTTTCTCAGATATGAAGTGCCTGGTTTGTTGTATCCAAAATTCCGGTAACCAGTGCAGTACGGTCTGATGTATAAATACAGGGATATTGATCCCGCTTCCATAAAATTTTTTGAGGTGATAAAATTAACGTGGATAGGAATGAGGACCAAGAGTAGGTGGTGTGCGTCTTAATAAAGTTTTAGTATACAAAATGTCCTAAAATTTAGAGAACTATTTGGCAGAGAAGAGAAGAATAAGTACACCATAACTCTAAAAATACAGAAGAGCACACATATCATGCTTAGTAGTCTATTCATCTGGTTATAATCTATTGTACCAGTAATATCATTGTAGTTACCAGTATATACATGCCTTGAAATTTTAACACATACATTGTATTTACAAATAACACAAAGACAAACAAGCCTTCTCGTATATCATCTGCATATATGTGTGACAATTTTATTTTGCCAAATGGTAAACTAGTATGTTGATTTATTTAAATGTTGTCCAGTTTGGGGTTATGAAACATTTAAATGACTTGTTATAAGTGGCATAACAAGTTTTTTATCCCTTCAAATGCAACTTTTGCCGTCGACTGCGCATCGTAAAAATAGGTTGAATATAATATTTCAAATGTTAGCACATGTTGCAGACACTCCTTATTTTTATTTGTGTCCTAAAATTCGATTTATAGATTCCCGACTTTCTGTAATGATTAATTTTAACACATAAAATAGGCAAACTACTGCTTGTCTATACTTTTATTTTGGCATTACACAAGTCATGTTTCTTTGACTGTCGTGGTCGTTAAAACACTAAATCCGTGGGATGTGTTTTAGCTGATTTAGTCTCTGATGCATGATTTTTTTTATTATTATTAATTGTTTTTGGCTTTAACTAGCTTTCAAATAATTTTACCTGTTAATACCATTTGTCATCCATTTTTGTTATTTAATGTTAACTTATTTAGTGCTATATCTCGTGTCACTATTTTTAATATATACAACCCTTGATAAGTGTTTGGTATGACGATAAATTCTCTTTTCTGTTCTCGAAACATGAACAACAAATTTATTTATTTTGTAATAGATATTTCCGTACTCCATGTATACCTTACAACAAAATTATTTCTATTTACCTGTGTACGTTATTTTTTTGGCGGCATTTTGTTTAAGGTTATGGTTGTCTTTCTTATATTGTTTAACATCTCACCCCTTTTTTATCTTAATTTTGTATTTACATTGTGTCATAGGTCAAATTTAATCGTTCAGTGCATGTTCACTTGTTTTAGTTAATATGTCTTTTGATTGAGTTAAGCCATTTCAAATGATATTTTATAGTGTGTTGTGATGTTACACTATTGTTTCAGGTTAGGGTGAATGTTTGTCTCTATTAAAACGTTTTAACCTGCTGCACATGTTTGCACCTGTCCTAAGTCAGGAACCTTATGTTCAGGGGTTGTCGTTTGTTGATGAGGTTCATAAGTGTTTCCTCGTTTCTCGTTTTTATATAGATTAGACGGTTGGTTTTCCTGTTTGAATGGTTTTACACTAGTCATTGATGGGGCCCTTTATAACTTGCTGTTCGGTGCGAGCCAAGGCTCCGTGTTGAAAGACGTACTTTGACCTAGAATGGTTAACCTTTACTAATTGTGACTCGGATGGAGAGTTGTCTCATTGGCACTCATACCACATCTTCTTATAGCTAAAACCTCTTTGTTCTTACAGTGCTCTAATGTAAAGGTGTGCTTTTAATACCTCAAATATTCTGCACATTTAAAATGCTCTCTTAACTTACAAATACAACTAAGTAGATCAATTCACAACTTTCTGTAACTTTATCGTCTCTAAATATGAAATTAAACTAAGGTTGAAAAAGTAGAAGGGACGGTAGAAAGACTCCTTTTTAAAAATTGGAACATTTTTTTTTTGTTCAGTGTAATTCCTAAATCAATCTCAAAGCTAATTAAAACTAGATAACGGTTTTTTTGTAATTTCTGTTAAAGAGAGGAAGTTATCAAAGGCGGTATATTCAAACTAATAAGTCAATGACAAAGTGACGTCTTGGCCCAAAAAAAAAAACCGAAAAAAGACAAAAAGACCAACAACGGCCCACTAGTATTCTAATCACGACATAAAAAAATTAAAACTGAGCAACACAAATCCCACTTAAACCAGGGCTCTAAATGTTTGCACTATGACTTAAATTTTGCATAAGTGCTATATGTTTTTATTTGTGCTTAATTTTTAGCTGTGCTTAAGTTTTAGTTGTGCATGAATTTTTTACGTTATGCTTCAGTTTTGACATGTTTAGATGTGTAGTTTAGTAATATTTTGCATGTATTTCAATATGCCTGTGCTAATTCTATGCATTTGAAATAATGTGCTGCTTATAAATCGTATCTGCATGTTCTGTGTTTTAATGTTATGTACATATTATTTATATTCGATAAAAAAATCTCAAGAGCTTATGTTTGTATTGTTATATGTGAACCGAACAAAATAAAACTTTCGTATTTGAATTCGTATACGAGAAACACCTATAAACCACCCCAATAAACGAAAACCACTAAACAAGTTTACAATAAAACTTAGCCATTCAGGTATATAAAATCTATTCAAATGTATTCTTAAATTTAAAATATTATATGACTTTAACATCTTTATTTGTATAATAGTAGATAATACACCTGTTTGTGTAATTTAAAATGACATATATTTTATAAGTGTTACACCAGGAAGTTAAGTGTGAACATTGAAAAGGAAATACGTATAGAAATGTCGTTTGCTTATTTCTGTGTAATTTTCATACATTTTGCTGTTTACAGTGAGTACGCATTAGATAAGAACAGGAAAGTAATATAGAATATTAATATTGATATATAAACTGATCAATTCTCATCTTTTTATATATGAAAAATTGGGTTTCTGCTAATATGTGCAAATGTTCAAGTTCATATCAGTTAGAAACATGTGCAGATATGGCGTTTACCACAACAAGAAATGGAAATGTTTGCGCTCAAACTGGTAGTTGTCTCATTGGCACTCATATCACATCTGCTTATATTTACTTATACCTGTCTTGAATTTGCAAGATACTGTTATCTTTTACTAAAGGCATTTCTGTGGTTTAAGATAAATATAAGCAGCAAATCTGCATGATATTTCTTTTTGGGAAATGGGTGTAAACCATAATTATGAACTGATAATCCATATGCCTTCTTTTCTATCGAAAGACATATTCGTGAATGTCAAAGCTATTAATTATCATAGTGAAATGGGATGATAACCACTAAAAAAATATATATATTTTCAAACATATTTTGAACTGAATTCCTTTGTCAATAATTCTAGGTAAAACATTTGGATTCATATGCCAATCACTTATTTCTTCAACTTAAGTATTTTTAATGGGATATCCTTCTGACAAGGAAACACCATTTTATAACTTAAACAAATATGATTATGTTCCTGAAAATTATAGATGCAAGGATAAATATTAAATACTATGGAAACTCATTCTAACTATTATTATTAGAATGCTAACACCTAATGATATTGAAGTTACCAACTATCTGTGAATTGTAAAATATGTAAACTGAAATACGAATTTCACGAATCCATCGTAATCTGGAAAAAAAGTAAGCTACAGCTGGAGGCAGACCAAGCATTACGTAAAATAAACGCAAGTTAACGCCGCGTGCACATATTTCGTTAGTTAACTTCAATTTTCGCGTTTACTATAATTACGTTAACACGGTCAAATGGAAATGTCTACCCGAGTAAACGGGCGTTTACTTTGTGTCCGTTTAGTCAGTAGTAAACGGGCGTTTACTTCAGATTTCACAAGTTTATTTTTACGTGCACTTAAAAGTAAACGGGCGTTTACTACAGATTTCACAAGTGTATGTTTACGTGCACTTGAAAGTAAACGCGGGTTTACTTTTCGCGTTAACTGATTGTGTAAATTAAGAAATAAACTTCGTGTTCATTTGTACATTTATTTTATTAAAACGACTTTTATCTTAATATTTTACGTATATGTGTTTCAAACCAGAACAATTCAAAAACACTTTTAATTCGAAATATTTACTTTTATTAATTACAAAAAATCAGTACCAATAACTTTACTGAGTAGCAGATTTTCTATATTTTCTTTTCAAAAGTTACATGTGCAAATATCGAGGCGGATAGAAAGGTTATCCAACACATCGGAAAAATATTTTTATATGATGGGATATAAACATCATGGTTTACGTTGCTTCGTTCCCCATTATTAAACGTCTTTTCCTAAATATAACTCTATGCATTTAATACATGGAATTTTAATCGCAATTCACCCTGTTTGCCTTGGATTTACATGATTTAAGATTCTGATTTGCCAAATGTTCAAACGAAAATTATACAGTGTATATAAGGAGATTAATAAAGTGTTGTATAAGTATGTACATTTGTACCATCTCGTCAATTTAGACAGGCTTATCCATAACTATTATAAATGATATCTGGGACGTCCGAAACATATACTCGATCTGAACATGAATGAAATATTTGCACCTGGACGTTAGGCTACAAACAAAATCAATCAACCTAAATAATGACATAATACATAACAGTATACTATTCCAAGAAGAGAACTTCTCATACTTTTCATTATAAAGTATATGAATCAGTCATGTGAGTGTTGGATGATGCCGTTAAATAGTTTTGTTTAAAATACAAACCATCACGAACTACTGACTTTAGTGACGGTCCATAATTATGGATACAGAGAGGAAATGATGGCACTCTAAATTGATGTGGACAAAATTTTGTAGTCATTGTGTTCTAAATTGCTGTCATCTTTATTATAGAATCTGTCCTGACATAAAAATATTACTGATTTACTATGCGAGTATAAGATTAAAATAATAAAGTGCAAATATGGTCAGTTTTGTTTAATGCGGTCACATAATTTTGTTATCCGAGTCAGTCTGAGATATCAAAACTACTGAAATTTGTTTACAATTCAATATTTTGAATAAAAAGAGGACATGCTGGCACTCTTATTTGATGCGGAAAAATTTTTGTAGTCATTGTGTTTCAATATTGCTGTCATTTGCATTATATAATCCCTCCTGACATAAAAATATTACTGATTTACTATGCGACTATAAGATTAAAATAATAAAGTGCAAATATGGTCAGTTTTGGTTGATGCGGACAAATAATTTTGTTATACGAGTCAGTCTGAGATATCAAAACTACTGACATTTGATCACGATTCAATATTTGAATAAAAAGAGGACATGCTGGTACTCTAAATTGATGCAGAAAAAATTTTGTAGTGATTGTGTTCCATTATTGCTGTCATTTGTAGAATATAGTCCCTCCTGACATAAGAATATTACTGATTTACTATGCGGCTATATAGATTTACATAATAAAGAGCAAATATGGTCAGTTTTGGTTGATGCGGTCAAATAATTTTGTTATATGAGGCATCCTGAGGTATCAAAACTACTGAAATTTGTTCACGATTCAATATTTTGCATAGAAAGAGGACATGTTGGTACTCTAAATTGATGCGGAAAATGTTTTGTAGTCATTGTGTTCCAATTTTGCTGACATCTTTATTATACAATTTGTCCTGACATAAAAATATTACTGATTTACTACGCGACTATAAGATTTACATAATAAAGAGGAAATATGGTCAGTTTTGGTTGATGCTGACAGATAATTTTGTTATATGAGTGTCAGTCTGAAGTATAAAAACTAATGATATTTGTTTACGATTCAATATTTCGATTTTATTTGTATAATATAAATATTACTGATTTACTATGTGACTATAAGATTTACATAATAAAGTGCTAACATGGTCAGTTTTGGTTGATGTGGACAAAAATTTTTTTTTAAACGAGTCAGTCTGAGGTGTGAAAACTACTGATATTTGTTTACGATTCAATATTTTGAATAAAAAGAGGACATGCTGGCACTCTAAATTGATGCGAACAAAATTTTGTAGTCATTGTGTTCCAATATTGCTGTCATTTGTATTATAAAGTTCATCCTGACATCAAAATATAACTCATTTACTATGAGGCTATGTAGATTTGCATGAAAAAGTGCAAATATGGTCAGTTTTGGTTAATGCGGTCACATAATTTTGATATACGAGTCATTCTGAGATATCAAAACTACTGAAATTTGTTTACAATTCAACATTTTGAATCAAAAGAGGACATGCTGGCCCTCTTAATTGATGCGGAAATTTTTTTTTAGTCATTGTGTTTCAATATTGCTGTCATTTGTATTATATAATCCCTCCTGACAGAAAAATATTACTGATTTACTATGCGACTACATAGATTTACATAATAAAGAGCAAATATGGTCAGTTTTGGTTGATGCGGTCAAATAATTTTGTTAGATGAGGCATCCTGAGGAATAAAAACTACTGAAATTTGTTCACGATTCAATATTTTGAATAAATAAAGGACATACTGTACTCTAAATTGATGCGGAAAATGTTTTGTAGTCATTGTGTTCCAATATTGCTGTCATTTGTATAATATAGTCCCTCCTGACATAAAAATATTACTGATTTAATATGCGGCTATATAGATTTACATAATAAAGAGCAAATATGGTCAGTTTTGGTTGATGCGGTCAAATAATTTTGTTATATGAGGCATCCTGAGGTATCAAAACTACTGAAATTTGTTCACGATTCAATATTTTGAATAAAAAGAGGACATGCTGGTACTCTAAATTGATGCGGAAAAATTTGTAGTCATTGTGTTCCAAAATTGCTGTCATTTGTATAATATAGTCCCTCCTGACATAAAAATATTACTGATTTAATATGCGGCTATATAGATTTACATAATAAAGAGCAAATATGGTCAGTTTTGGTTGATGCGGTCAAATAATTTTGTTATATGAGGCATCCTGAGGTATCAAAACTACTGAAATTTGTTCACGATTCAATATTTTGAATAAAAAGAGGACATGCTGGTACTCTAAATTGATGCGGAAAAATTTGTAGTCATTGTGTTCCAAAATTGCTGTCATTTGTATAATATAGTCCCTCCTGACATAAAAATATTACTGATTTACTATGCGGCTATATAGATTTACATTATAAAGAGCAAATATGGTCAGTTTTGGTTGATGCGGTCAAATTATTTTGTTATATGAGGCATCCTGAGGTATCAAAACTACTGAAATTTCTTCACGATTCAATATTTGGAATAAAAAGAGGACATGCTGGTACTCTAAATTGATGCGGAAAAATTTGTAGTCATTGTGTTCCAATATTGCTGTCATTTGTATAATATAGTCCCTCCTGACATAAAAATATTACTGATTTACTATGCGACTATAAGATTTACATAATGAAGTGCAAACATGGTCAGTTTTGGTTGATGCGGGCAAAAAAATTTTGTTATACTAGTCAGTCTGAGGTGTGAAAACTACTGACATTTGTTTACGATTCGATATTTTGAATCAATATGAGACATGCTGGTACTCTCAATTGATGCAGAAAATGTTTTGTAGTCATTGTGTTCCAATATTGCTGTCATTTGTATAATATACTCCCTCCTAACATAAAAATATTACTGATTTACTATGCGACTATAAGATTTACATAATAAAGTGCAAACATGGTCAGTTTTGGTTGATGCGGTCAAATAATTTTGTTATATGAGGCATCCTGAGGTATCAAAACTACTAAAAAAGTTTTAACAATTCAATATTTTGAATAAAAAGAGGACATGCTGGCACTCTTAATTGATGCGGAAAAATTGTTTTAGTCATTGTGTTCCATTATTGCTGTTA